ACGGCTACATGCAAAAAAATGGGCTCATAACTCTGCCTAACACCATGTACAAAAGTAAGATCAAAATGGATAAAAGACCTCAACATCAGACCGGAATCCATAAGGTACATTGAAGACAAAGTTGGCAAAACCCTCTATGATATTGAAGCTAATGGTATCTTCAAAGATGTCACGCCACTGGCCGAGCAAGTGAAAACAGAGATAGATAAATGGGACTATCTTAAACTAAGAAGCTTCTGCACCTCCAAAGAAACAGTGACCAAAATACAAAGACAGTCTACAGAATGGGAAAGGATATTCGCCGAATACACATCTGACAAGGGGTTGATATCCAGGATATACAAAATACTGGTTAAACTCCACAAGAAGAAAACATCCAACCCCATCCAAAAATGGGGCAATGAAATGAACAGAAACTTTCTCAAAGAAGAAATTCGAATGGCAAAAAAGCACATGAGAAGATGCTCTACATCATTAATCATCAGGGAGATGCAGATCAAAACCACAATGAGATACCATCTCACACCTCAGAGACTGGCCCACATTCAAAAGAACAAAAGCAACCGATGCTGGCGCGGATGTGGCGAGAAAGGGACACTCCTTCACTGTTGGTGGGAATGTCGACTGGTTCAGCCCTTCTGGAAAACAGTATGGACGATTCTCAAAAAATTAGAAATTGAGCTCCCATTTGACCCAGCAATACCACTCCTGGGTATATATCCCAGAGAAGCAAAAATATATAGTCGAAGTGACATCTGCACTTGTTTGTTCATTGCAGCGCTCTTTACAATAGCCAGAAACTGGAAGAAACCTGAATGCCCAAGAACAGATGACTGGTTAAAGAAACTTTGGTACATCTACACAATGGAGTACTATGTAGCTCTTAGAAAAGATGAAGTCATGAAATTTACATACAAGTGGTACAACATGGAAAGTATCATGCTAAGTGAAATGAGTCAGAAAGAGAGGGATAGACATAGAAAGATTGCATTCATCTGGGGGACATAAAGTAACAAAATATGAGATTAATACCCAAGAATAGCTGAGATCAGCACCAGGAGGATTACTCCATAGCTTAGTGGCCAGTCGGGCATTCTAGAGGAAAGGGCAGCTCAGATAGAGAAGGGAACACCAAATAAAGGGTGTTTGGAGGATCCTCCCAGGAGGGGAGATGCATGTCGAAAGTGGACTATGGACTGAACATGTTTGCCACTCAATGCCTCTTTTGCAGACCACAACACCCAAAAGGAGAGAGAGAACACAGGGGATTGCCCTGCCACAGAGGCAGGGGGGGATGGGGGGATGGGGGTGGGGGGATATTATCCATGGTGGTGGAAAATGGGCACTGGTGGAGGGATGGGTATCTGATCATTGTATAATCAAACCCAAGCACAAAAAATTGTAAATCTACAACTGTACCTCATGGTGTTTCACTAATAAAAAAAATTAAAAAAAAAAAAACAAACAAACAAAAAAAGAAACAAAAAAAATAAAATAAAAATAAAATGTTACCATAGTGGGGAAAAAAAAAAAGGCCAAGTCACTTGTTGCAGCCAGATTCAAATTAACAGGTGTTAGGGAGATAATTACTGAGCATTCTCTGCTGTGAGCTGGTAGAGGGGCGAGGACAGTAACAAAGGGACAACAATTCAGAAAGGGGGTAAGACAAAGCCATAAACCACTTCAGTGCCATCAAGGAAAATAAGCAGAGAAGGGATGAGAGCGAGCTGGGCAGAAATGCCATTGTATTTCATTTTGGTTTGCAGCCACAACCAGCAATGCTCAGGGCTTACTCCTGGCGCTTGCCTTGCTCACAGTCAACCCAAGTTCAATCTCTGGTTTCCCATACAATTCCGAGCATGCCAGGAGTGATCCCCGAGTGCAGAGCCAGGAGTTAAGTCCTGAACACTAACTGCCAGGTATGCCCACCCCACCTCAAAAAAAAAAAAATTAAAAGTATTGATTCCCAAAAAAGTTTAGAGTTAAGGTACGGGGACGTGCAGCTCATCATCGCTCTATCAAGTTTTTGTACTTAGAACAGTTTCCATTTGTCAGGCTACCCATCGATAGGAAATGTTAATTACTGGGCTTTATGAATTGCTGCCCTGATCTTCAATTTAAAACAAATAGCACAGCAGGTAGGGCGGTTTGCCTTGCACGAGGCCGACCTGGCCAACCCAAGTTCGATGCCTCCGCCTCTCTTGGAGAGCCTGGCAAGCTACCAAGAGTATCTCGCCCACACGGGAAAGTCTGGCAAGCTACATGTGATGTATTCGATATGCCAAACACAGTAACAACAAGTCTCACGATGGAGACCTTACTGGGCCCGCTCGAGTAAATCAATGAACAACAGCAGGACAGTGCTACAGTGCTACAGGGCAGTCTATGATTTTCAAGAACGTAGGCAAATAGGCTCCTTACTAATGAAAACAAGCCCACGTAGCAAGGAAGATCTGTCCATTCACCACCTGCAGAGGGCACATCCGACCGAAACTTTCTTGAATACATAATGGTTCATTAAGATGATTTTCATGTTCATAAAAATCATTTTTAAAGCATTCTTCAGATGTCAAGCTTTATGTAAAGGTAAAGGTAAAGGTAAAGGCCCTCCCGTTGATCGTCGATTTGCTCGAGCGGGCCCAGTAACGTCTCCATTGGAGACTTTGTTGTTACTGTATCTGGCATATCCAATACTCTCGGTAGCTTGCCGGGCTCTCGGAGAGGGGCAGAGGAATCGAACTCAGGTCGGCCATGTTGGCCGCTTGTAAGGTGAACGCCCTACCCGCTGTGCTATCGCTCCAGCCCACGCATTATTTCTCGATGCATAAGTTAGATGCCAAATACATTGCCTTGCATGTAAACACGATGTAGCACGATTCAAGAATTTCCTGTCGTCATCTGTTTCACCTGATGCATGAGGTCCAACACTCCCCGCCTGGGTTCAGAAAACCAGGCCCGGAAGAAGAGAGGCGGGTTACTGTCTTCTTCCCCACTTCACCTCACCAGTGCGCAAATTCTGATCAGTATTTCCACAAAACAAAAATTTCTAACTAGTAATCACTTTGTTTCACTTGGGCATATTTTTTTTATTAGAAAACAAAATTGAACATGTTTTCAAAAACTAGGAAGAATACAATAAACAGCAAGTCGGCAGAACAACCATTAACCCTTTCCTATCTATGCTCTATGTATGTATGTATCTAATGAATATTGCTAGACCCAATTATTGACATCATGTGCCATCTTATCCTTAAAGAAAATCTTAGCATGTTGGGCCGGAGAGATAGCACAGCGGGTAGGGTGCTTGTCTTGTATGGGGCTGACCTGGGTTCGATCCCTACCATCCCATATGGTCCCCCCAACCGCTGTGAGAAGTGATTCTTGAATGCAGAGCCAAGAGTAACCCCTGAGCATCGCTGGGTGAGCAATCCTCCTCCAAGAAAAAAAATCCTTATCATGCAGCTGCAGAAAATATTCTCCTATATGAACACAATAGCATTACCTTACAAAGAAAATGAGTAACAATTCCTGTACATTATCTAATGACAGTCCATATTAAAATTTCCACAATTTTGCCTAAATCTTTTTGAAAACCCAATCTAATCCAGGTCCTGGTATCATGGTCCATCTGGCCTCAGCTCCCTTTGTCTGTCTGTTACCTGCCCCACCCATGACTACTTTCACTTTGGCCACTCTCAGCCCTTTTAGCCCAAGAAATTTTTACATGATCCCAACAATAGCAAGAATAGCAATACAAAGCAAACACTTACAAATATCATAAATTTATTTTACAAGAAATTTTCATGACATTGCATGACCCCTTATTGTCACAACCCCCGTTTCAGAAGCTAGGAGTTAGATCCACATTTGCCTACTGTTTCTTCATGATGAAACTTAAGTTTTTCCATCTCTTATAAACCAGATGACAGAGGGTAGTCTTTTTTTTTTTCTATCCCCCCCATCCCACCCTGCCTCTATGGTAGGGCATTCCCTTTTGAGAGGCTAGAGTCTTAGCTAGAGTTAGGCATAATGCTTTTGGCAATACTTCACAGATATTCCAAACGGTCACCCAGGGCAGAAGAGAAACACAGTTAAATGCTCCTGATGGGCCATTTTCCACAACCACTCTTGACTTGCCTGCGTGAGTGATTCTATCGTCTTTCTTTCTTTTTCTTCCTTCCTTCCTTCCTTCCTTCCTTCCTTTCTTTTCTGGAGCAGCCTGTGGTGCTTCCTCCCAGCAGTCCTCAGGAACCCTGTGGTGCCGAGGACAGAAACGGGCCCCTGCCCTGTCGGCACAGCGCTTACTCGCTGACCAAATTTTCTCTCCTGCTCCTTAGCATCTCGATACATCCGGCTAGAGCATCGCTGCGATTTTACAGCCTGACTGACACCAAACTCATGTCAGCTGAGCTGTTTTTCCTAAGGACAAACAGGAAAGCCAAATTCTCACAGGGACAGGCAGCCAAGTCCAAGTGACTGCAGAGAGAAATGCCAGTGATGAAACTCAAGACGCTCTTCCTCATCATCTTCATCCCACAGGGTTTCCTTACCCCTATCTTCCAGCTTCCTTCCAATGGCACGTGGGCACTCCCGTCACTGGGAAGCGCAGCACTGGGCATCACTCAACACAGAAACCAGAGCCTTTTCCCGTTCCTGTATATGCCTAGCACAGAAGCGCGTCTACGTAAGAAGTTAAATATTTGCTGAAAGGAAGCATATCGTCAATGATATAAGGTCTATCTAAACAAGGTTGATTTTTACAATAGGAGACAACAGGGGCCTGGAGAGCGTGTTATAGTGGGCAGGGCATTTGCTTGCACACGGTTGATCCAGGTTCGACCCCTGAAACCCCAGATGGTCTCCGAGCACTGCTGGGAATACTTCTGGAGTGCAGAGCCAGGAGCAGCCCTTGAGTGAGCATTGCCAGGCCAGGCATGATCCCAAAAACAAAACAAACAAAAACATCACAAAGCTAAAGTGATCATATACAAGGGAAGTACAGAAATAACATCTCTAACGTCCTGTGAGATGGTTCAAGGCTCAGTGGCCTCAGGTTATAACGTATCGGGTAAGTCCTTTCCCTCGGACCTCTGACAACCTCCGGCAGTGTCGTAAAATACTCATTATCCCATGAAATTTCTTGTCGACTTTCAGAGTTGTGAACTCCTTTATGTCGGCTTCCACTATAAAGTAATGACCTGAAAATAAACATAAACAAGGGCTAACTTTTAAACTTTCAGGATGAGTTTAATGCACTAAATGATAGGGTGAGTGGCATTATTCTTTCTATCAGCCAACCAGAGTGAGAAATGACAGTCTTGCTGATGTTATTGATTCTATCAACTAAAAAGTTATTATTTCCTGTATCACTAGCTATCTGTTTAGTGGCTTATGAACAATTCACTTTTCAAGAGGCAACATGGTATTCACGAATGAAAAAATAAAATTCACAGCAGCTCAGGACTTGGCTGGTTGACCCTGGGCAAGGAAGTCAAACTCTCTCTACCAGCCTGCAGTTCCCTGGGGATAATAACAGGACACAGCTCATTAGGGCACGGCGGCGAGGATTAGAGTGCTCAGTATACTAGGTGGCTGAGTAAGTGCTTAAACCAGACCCATTACCAGCCTAATTATCCAGACACTGGGGAGAGTCCCACGAGAATCTCTAGCATTATTTTCCAGTCTCAGCACTCCATTTGGGGCTAAATAACCCTTTTTCTGTGAGAGCTGTCCTTCCAGTGAACTTTGGAGATATGTGTGGTATCCCAGACCTCAAGCCACGAGATACCAGTAGGATCCCCAATGCCAGTTCTAACAACTGAAAATGTCTCTGGAGATGGGCAAAAGTCACCTGAAAAGAAAAGTACTATGGTTGAGAATTAACTTTCTAGAATTTCCTATTATTGGTTCAATTTCACATGGGTAGACTCCAAACCATTGCCATGTATACATAAAGAGGCAAATCATACCTTTGGTGTCCTTTGTTTCTTCATCCATGAATCTGTGATAGAGATTTCTGGCCACAGAACTCATAGACTTTTTTGGTTGATGTAGAATCTTATATTTACTAACCACAGCAGTGTTGATTTCTTTAATAACATCATTAATTTGACAATAGGTTAAGCGAGATTTCATATATCTGTTACAAAAAAAAAAAGGTAGTTCATGATGTTTAAGTCTCTATTTTCTTTTAAAAGTGTTCATGAATGCAGGAGCAAAACTCCTAGTATATTTTTGGGGGCGGCTGCACCCGGAGACGCTCAGAGGTTACTCCTGACTCTGCATTCAGGAAATCACTCCTGGCAATGCACAGGGGACCATATGGAATGCAGGAGATCAAAACTGGGTTGGCAGAGCGCAAGTGAATTGCACTAACCAATTGTATTATCTCTGCAGTCCCCTAGTATATTCTTACCAAAAAAAAAAAAAGAAGAAATTGTATCAGCTTCCAAAGCAACCAGACACAACTCAACAGCAGGACCACACCATAACAAGCTTTTCCTACATATATGTCAATGTTTGCATCTCTATTCTTCAACAGAATATAACAATTTAAACTAAGCTTGCAAATTACAATTTACATAAACTGATTACTTTTTTTTTTTTTTTTTTGCTTTTTGGGTCACACCTAGCTATGCACAGGGGTAACTCCTGGCTCTGCACTCAGGAATTCCTCCTGGCAGTGCTCAGGGGACCATATGGGATGCTGGGAATCGAACCCGGGTCGGCCGCGTACAAGGCAAACGTCCTACCTGCTGTGCTATCGCTCCAGCCCCGAACTGATTACTTCTAAGATAGAAGTTTATTTAAACATTATGAGAGCAAAGAAAAGATTTTAATATTAATAAATGAAAGAAAGATTTTAATATGAATAAATAATACAACTCACTTCACTCAGCACTGCTGGGGGGTAGCCCCTACTGAAAATACAAAAAAAAACCAAACAAATTCAGCAGACAGAGTTCAATCCCCAGCATCACATATGTTCTCCTAAGCCCTGCCAGGAGCGATTCCTATATAGGGAGCCAGGGGTAAGCCCTGAGCACTGTCAGTTGTGGTTCAAAAACTAAGCCCCACAAGCCCCCACACCCCAACTCCAAAAAAAGTTAACTGAATGCATAGCGTAGCTACATAATTTTAATTATAATCAGCAGCTTGTTATCGATGTGAAATTAAAATCTAGCAGGAAATACTCATGTGTACGGTGCAATTAGAGACGAGTTATTTTCTGACAACACACACTTTTCACTATTTGTATAATAAAGCAACGAGAAATGTAAAAATAAAAAGCTGAGAAGTGAAGCAAAATCCCAAGTGTGTTTAAAATTGGATTTCCCAGACCAACTTGAGATGACTGTCACCCGTGGCAAACATGGAGACACCCAGCTGTGGGGGGCCTTCTCCCGTCATCTGCTCCTCCCGTCATCTGCTCCTCCCGTCCACGTTCCCAGAACAAAACTCAGACTCAGAGAGGCATTTGGCCCAAATTAAGGGGGAAATGGCAAACAAACACAACACTCGCCAATCTACTTCTCCGATTGAAGTCACACACACTCTCACATTCCCTAAAAGTTAAAAAAAAAAAAAAACTGAGGGGCTGGAGCAATAGCACAGCAGGTAGGGCGTTTGCCTTGCACACGGCCGACCCGGGTTCGATTCCCAGCATCCTATATGGTCCCCCGAGCACCGCCAGGAATGATTTCTGAGTGCAGAGCCAGGAGTACCCCTGTGCATCGCCGGGTGTGACCCAAAAGAAAAAAAAAAAACTGAGGCTACGAGTGAAGTGTGACTGGATTCACAGGTGCCCTGGAAGGGCTTGAGGGTCTCAGCAACATACAGGTCCATCTCTAGATCTCTAGGAAGAGTGAAAAAAAGAGGACGGAAGGCCGAAGCACTAGCACAGTGCGAAGGGTGCTTGCCGACCCGGGTTTGATCCCTGGCATCTCATATGGTCTCTGAAGCACCACCAGGAGTGATTCCTGATCACAGAGTCGGGAGTAAGCCCTGAGCATCACTGGGCGTGGTCCAAGAACAAATCAAACAAAACACGACTGTAGGCACCTTCAACCACAGGCTTCCTGCACTCTCATAGTACGATGTAAAACTATCGTAGAAAAGTTTACTATCTGAGCACAACTCAGCTTCATGAATATGATCCAACCATCATGAAGAGTGGAATGCTAAAACCTACAGCAAATACTTACGAAGGAATGCCATTGAATTCATCAGCAGTTATAAATAACATTTCTTTAATCATTCTTTGTTCTTTCGGGGGCTTCTTCGTGGGGGCAGGTTCAACTGGGACCGATTTTCCTGGGTCAGGCTGGGGCTCTTTGGGACTACAGGGGATGAACAGAGACAGAATGATGTCAGAAACCTGCAGATTACAAAGTTTTCCCCACTGGAAAAAATCAAGACCTCACAGAATTTGCTTCTTTTCTTTTTCCCCACTGTTTGGGGGCCCCTGGGATTACACATCAAGAGGCCATACAACACCATGCATTGAGCCCACACCCTATGCATGGCAGGGCGAATCCAGCCCTTGAGCTATCCCTGGCCCCAGTATTCAAGGAGATCTGCATCAGAGAATGCTAAAGGCCAAGTCCCTGATGGTCAGAAATAAATCGAAGTCACAGATCCCAAACATGGTGCCTGAAGCAGTTACACTGAGTATCTTCACCCCTGCCCCAGTGCTCCTTAAGTCAGTATTAATGAAATGAAGCTGCACTTCCACAGCCTCCTCCTGGCTTCCTGCTTCTGGTTCCGTTATTTTATTTGTTCGGCTCGTTTCTGGGCCCCATCTCAGGTGCTCAGGGTATACTCCTGGCTCTGTGCTCAGGGGTCACTCCTGGTGGGGCTCGGGATGATATAAGGTGTTGGACTCAAACCCAAGGCAAATGCCCTGGCCCCTGTCCTCTCCCTCTGGCCCGACTTTCCTGTTTCTGGACACAAGCATCATCTATTTTTCTAATTATTCCATGGGTTGCTAGTGACAGTCCCTGCCTATGGCAGTCTTTAGTGCAATCAAGAAGCATGGGTCACCCTTAGATTCTGTTTTGCCCAAATTTGCTAGCTTCTACCCCACTAGCAAATGGAGTCCGGAAATATCTGCTTAGCTGCCGAGAAAGATGTAGATTCCTGTGGCTTCCGCCAAATTAACCCCAAAATACACTAACTGCTCCAAATCAGTAACGGGATGTTAAAGAGAGGACCCAACCTAGGAGCAAGTGAAAAGAACTGAAGTCCCAGTCACGGGGGCAACCAGGCCGCATGACAGAGATGGCCACGTGGCAGGCTGTCAAGAAAATTGTCCTGGCACCCTCGGCCTGGAAGAGACAACACAGTGAGCAAGCCTGAGACCTGTCTGGACTTGTCTGCCTGGACCGTGAGCTGACTTCCCCTTCACGCCCTGCTGGGTCAGCTGGAAACGCCCATTTCGACCTAAAGCCACGTTCCACTTGGAATTCGCCCCCAAAGCCCACACTGAGCCACAGTGAGTTTTTTTGGCTTGTAGAAAGTGCCATATTTGTGTAGAAATGGGAAGAAAATATTTGTATTTCTCCTCCTGCTGTAGGGAAAGCCTGAGGAGCCAGAGCCATACTCAGGACTCCGTGGAACGTTTCTTCTCCTGGAGACTTCAACCATCAGCTGAACACAACTCTTCTCCCACCCAGCGAGAATCACACTTCCCGCTCAGGTTTCAAACTGAAACCCAGTATTCTTCATGAAAACAGCCCTGCGAAGGTGTGATTACCTTTAACGCCAGGAAAACGAATTCTTACTGACAGAAAAGGTCTGCATCTAAAGAGCTTCGAGGTACTGGAAATAGCCTTCCTCTTAAGCTCACTGGTAGGTATCCCAGATCTTTGTTTTACTTACATAAATATTTTCTTCCCATTTCTATACAAATATGGCACATTTTACAAGCCAAAAATAAAATGAAATAAAATAAATGAGCCACGAAGTATTTTTAACATCCTCAGAGCCACCTCTAAAACTAGAATTTCCGCAGAGGGCTAAAGGAAGAGGAGAACCCAGGAGCCCTCCCATCAAAGACAAAAGATAACTGCAGGGCTGTTGGGAGCAGCAGAGAAAGCAGGAGGCGGGGGAGGGGCAGGGGCACGCAGACCCCACAGAGGGGCTCAAGATGCAGAATCCCGGTCGAGGTGTCATGTTCAGGCTGGAGCTAGACACCTCCTGGATGCACTCATGATGGTACGGGCAGAAGTTAAGCAAAGAGGACTAGGGTTGAGGGGGGCGAACACTGGTGGAAGATATGGTGTTTTTGTTTCTGTTTTTTTCTTCTTTTTTTTTCTTTTTTTGGCTTTTTGGGTCACACCCAGGGGTTCCTCCTGGCTCTGCATCCAGGAATTACTCCTGGCAGTGCTGGGGGGACCATATGGGATGCTGGGAATCGAGCCCGGGTCGGCCGCATGCAAGGCAAACACTCTACCCACTGTACTATAACTCCAGCCCTAGAAGGTGTGGTGTTGGAACAGGGTGCAGGCATGAAATCACATCAGTAAGTGATGTCGATCACGGGACCTAAAATAAAAAAATGTTTGAGGAAGAGAGAAGGTAGAAGAAAAAGAGGCAGCTAGTAAGAGGTGCGGCTCAGCACTGAAGAGCATGATGGTCGTGCAGGAAACAATTTCTAAGAGCCAAGGTAGGGGCTTGAGCGAGCACAGTGAGGAAGGCACTCTCCTCGCGTGCGGCCGTGCGGCCGGCCTGGGCTCGATCCCTGCTACCACTTATGGTCCCCCGGGCCCTGGCAGCAGTGATCCCTGAGCACTGCCGGGTGTGGCCCCCAAACAAAACAAAAGCAAAAATATCTAAGGCATTGCTCTTAACAAGGTCATAAATCATGGATACTATAATTATAGATACACTTACAGGTGCTGGGTTACTGTTAATTGAGGCAAATGAGGGGGGATGTTTTCTTTGAGATGTTCCACGTCTTTAAAATCTTCCTCAAGAGAGTCACACAGTTCCTGTTAATGTTTAAAAATGACCACAAGTAAGCATTCATCTTGTTGGTGTGTACTTTCAAACATTTTATAAAGAGCATCAAAGACTGTGACCCACAATCACATCAGGGGCAAGTTTTCAAAAGGCAGAATGCCGTGAAAACACTACTGAATGCAGTTAAAAAAAAAAAAAAGTTCTTTCTAGAATTGTTCTTGGAGGCCTAATACAAAATTTCCTCTAGGGGAGACCATTGTTATAATCATATTCTAGAAGGAAGGGCTGATATTTTAAGCTTTTCTAATATTCTTTTGCCTTGAGAGAACGACTAAAAACTGAAATATTGATGCCCGCCATCACGGCAAATGGATTTTACTGATCTAGCCAATGCCTCCAGCACTATGTAGCAGCACTGTGAGAACGCGTGCTCAGAGCAAATACCGTATCGTTTGGAATCACTCCCCTGCTGGTGTGTGTCTTCCCCAGCTTCGGAAAAATTTCTGCTTAATCATAACCTCAGGATTTTGCTTGGCTTCATCCTGAGCGTCCACCCGAACTCGAAGCTATGTGTCACTTCAGCAAATTTAGTAAGGGAAATTATTCTGCCCCTTTTGATTCCTGTTTTCTGAGTCTCTATCCTAAACGTGAACAAAAATCCCAAACAGGATCCAGTTTCTGAGCGGAACATTCGCAGGCAGGCTAGGCCTGTAGAATGCAGGTTCTCTGTTCTGATTTTAGGTGACGCTTTATTGCTGCGGATCAGGAGTTTGGGGCCACAGCCTGCAGTGGTCAGGAGCGACTCTCGGCGGTGCTCAGGGGTCAATTCTGGAGGTTCTCAGGGAAACATGTGGGACTGGCAATGGAGAATCCCTTCTTTTAAAGGGTTAAATGATACTCTGAGATATTACCTTTTTTAGACTAACAGGCGTAACCATGCACTTCCTACACCTTGAACCTTCTACAAGCCTGAAGGACTGCAAGGCTGGAATTGCAGACGCCATCTTGTCCAGTGGTACTAAGCATGCCCACAGCTCTGACCGTGCCCACAGACATATATATTAGCTGAAGCCAGTTAGAAGCCGTTTTCAAGACAAAAAGTGCAAGTGAATGAGGCTCCAGCTTTTCTTTCCTTGAGATTCCTTGTGTTACATTTTATGGAAGCAGAGAAATGCAAAATATAAAGGACACAAGAAATAGGTCAGAATGATTCATAAAAATTTGGCGGGGGGGGGGGGTTGAGATAGGGGCCTCCGCACCTGGAAATGCTCAGAAGTTACTCCTGGCTCTGCAGTCAGGAATCACTCCTGATGTATGGGATGCCAGGGCTCAAATCCATGCCAGCCATGTGCAAGGCAAGCACTTTACCTGCTGCACTACCCGGCACCTTGATCCATAAATTTTTTAAACACAGACCTGAAACCACCCCCCTCTACTCCCCCAAAGAAATAAAATGGCTTCCTCAGCCTCAGGAAGGGTGAGCTCAGGGCAGCCAGGATGAGAACCCACATTTCCCCAGCCTAGCTCAGAGGATTCTCCCATGCCACTCCACCAGGAGGGAATCTGTTTAAACTGACCAAGAAGTATTTAGGAAACTTCCCTTTTCAATCAAGTTCAATTCGATTGGTTATCAGCATGAAGAAATACCCGTGACATGCGAGAGTCCTTTACAGAAGGAAAATAAAACACAAACGGCATTCTCCACCACCAGTAATTTGCTAAGCTAAGAACATCTTAAATGTAAATAAACCGTAGAAATGCCGCCGTTGAGTTTGTTGTTCATCTACTTACCCAAGGGAGTTGGGAATTCTGGCCTTTTGGAAGGCATACCCAGCAGTGCTCAGGAGCAACCCCCAGCAATGTCTGGGAGATCATGAGGTGCCAGGGCTCAAACCAGGACCACAATATGCAAAGCACACACTCCAGGCCTTCCAAATCATCTCCCAACACAAGAACTTAATGCCCTTTTATTTTCTTTCTTCGCTAGGAAAACATTACCTTAAGGGAAATGTTGGTTTGTTCATGATACTGAACTTCCAATTCCAATTTATTGAGAAGTTGGTGTACGGCAATGATCTCATCTCCTATTTTCTCTAAGACAGTCGTCAAGGTAGGATCTTGACCTATTTAGTAAGGAAAGAGAAAAGAGAAAATAAGGTATAGAGGAAAAAAGTACCATACACGGAACCTCCTGAACTCTCAAAACAAGGGTATAAGTTTAGAGATGCCAGAGAGTGGAGACAGGGCTATTGCTTAAGCACCTCAAGAACTGCAGACACTCTTTTTTTTTTTTAATTTAGATTTTTATTAGTGAAACACCATGAGGTACAGTTGTAGATTTACAAACTTTTATGTTTGGGTTTCAGTTATACAATGATCGAGTACCCATCCTCCACCAGTGCCCATTCTCCACCACCACTGATCCCAGTATCCCTCCCACCTCCCATCCCCCCATCACACCCTGCCTTTGTGGCAGGGCATTCCCCCTTGTTCTCTCTCTCCTTTTGGGTGCTGTGGTTTGCAAAAGAGGCTTTGAGTGGCAATCATGTTCAGTCTAAAGTCTACTCTCAGCACGCATCTCCCATCCTGGGAGGATCCTCCCAACTCCCTAAATTTGGTGCTCCCTTCTCTATCTGAGCTGCCTTTTCCCCCAGAGTGTGCAGCTGGCCTCCAAGCCATGGAGTAAACCTCCTGGTACTTAAAACCTGGTACTCTGCTATTCTTGGGTGTTAAGTCTCCTATTTTGTTACTTTATGTTGCCCAGATGAATGCAATCTTTCTATGTGCACAGACACTCTTACACCCTAATTTCTAAATAGCTTTTAAGAGAAGGGAGAGGTAAGCACAGGTATCAATATCCCGGTTCCTGTTACTGGCAAATTCCTCTGGGACAATCAAATGGGGCTGGAGCAATAGTACAGCAGGTAGGGCCTTGCATGTGGCTGACCCAAGTTCGATTCCCCTGTCCCTCTTGGAGAGCCCGGCAAGCTACCGAGAGTATCCCGTCAGCACAGCAGAGCCTGACAAGCTCCCCGTGGAGTATTCGATATGCCAAAAACAGTAACAACAAGTCTCACAATGGAGACGTTACTGGTGCCCACTCAAGCAAATTGATGAACAACAGGAGGACAGTGCTACAGTGCTACAATCAAATGGCTAGAAATTCAGATAAAACAAATTCCTCCTACAGGCCCCAGTGGGCTTTCCTGAGAATGAGGCAAATCCTCAAGGGCGACCCAAGTGAAGAGAGCAGCACAGATGAGGCACAGACGCAGTCAAAGCTGCAACCCAAGCTGGAGCTATAGCACAGTGGGTAGGGCGTTTGCCTTGCACGCAGCCGACCCGGGTTCGATTCCCAGCATCACATATGGTCCCCTGAGCACCACCAGGAGTAACTCCTGAGTATAGAGCCAGGAGTAACCCCTGTGCATCGCCGGGTGTGACCCAAAAAAGCAAAAAAAAAAAAAAAAAGCTGCAACCTGAGCACAGCTGGGAGTAATACCTGAGTGCAGAGCCAGGACTAACCCCTGTGCATTGCCGGGTGTGACCCTAAAAGTAAAAAAAAAAAAAAAAAAAAAAAGCTGCAACTGCCCCCACACGGCGGGCAGAGACCTGGAGAGGGCCCATGGGTCTCAGCAACCCAACACAATCCCTTCGAACAGGGGTTCAAGGAGAAATAAGGCTGGGAGACTTTGCAGCACAGCGGTGGATGGAAGCATCCCAAAGGAGGTCAGAACCCCTTCAGGGGTGTATTATTACAAATCTGAAAATTCAAATCTAAGCCCCAGGGAGATCTCCGTATGTCCAGACTGACCCTCCAGTGTGTGTGGAGGTGATGAGAGGGCTCCCTTTCAGAATCTGAAGGAGAGTTTAGGATTGCTGGAGTTTGGAATTTATATTTATTCTCTCCCACACAAATCAAGATCCCTAAGAAAATAAATTTAAAAAAACAAATCAATTACAGGCTAATGGGTAGCCTCCAAGGTGCCTGGCAGAAACCAGCACCAACCTTTATAAAGTAGTCCCAAACCCATCTCCTCTGCCTCTCTCTGGCTTCACAGATTCAACGGGAAAAAAAAAAAAAAACAACTTCCTCCTCCCTGAAAATAGAATGTTGTCTTAGGACAGGGAGGGACCAGAGAGATAGTGTCAGAGGTAAAACAGTTGCTTTACATGAAGTTGAACCCCGCTGGACACTTGGCACCAAAATTAAGTCCTCCAAGCACCTCCAGGAGTGACCCCCAGCATAGAACCTGAAGTAGCTCCTGACCACCACCAGGTGTAGCCAAAAAAGTACAAGAAAAAAATTGAGGGGTAAATAAAAAAGAATGAAAGAAAACAAAAAAATCCTCAAAATCAAATCCTAAGATTTCTAGCAACCAATGAAATATCAACACAAATTAATTGAGATTTTTGCAGATTATGGAGACAGCAGAGTGAAAGGCTAGATGCTAGAGCCCAAAAGTCAGAGACACCAGCAGCTAATTCTGACGCTTACTGAGAAGTTTATAGGGAGAGATAGTGCAGTGGGCAGGGCACTTGCCTTACAATGAGGCCGACTGAGGTTCAATCCCTGGCCCCCCACAGTCTTCCAAACCCACCAGGAGTGATCCCTGAGGGCAGAATCAAGACTAAGCCCTGAATTTAATCTCTCAATCCAGAAATGTAAAGTCTTCTTATTTTCCTTTTTCACTAGAAAAAATTACCTTGAAAGAAATGTTGGTTTGTTCTTGATAATGAATTTCCAAGACACCCCCCCTTGCCCCAAAAAAGTTTACTACAAAAGTAAATGTAATGGCACAGGGTTTAGCTGAGTTTCACAGTGTCTAGAACCTAGTAGGAGCTATCTTCAGAATGGATGCAGTTTATGACCTAATTAATTGAGGAATGCTAACTGTAGTTGACAATAGTGCGCAGCAACTGAAATATAAATGAGAAAAACTGGTGTCTACTACAAGAATAGCCAAGGGATTAAATACAAAGGAACCGTAAGATGGAAGAGAGGCAAAGACATGATTAAGAAAATGTTGCAGAACCTTCCTCTCAAAGCACACTTTCTCCCCCAAATCTTCAAGAAATTTCACTCCCTTTCCCTTATTTCCTGATGCCACTTTATCGAAGGCAGATTGACAGACGGGTTTGAAGTTTACTCCTGGCCTTAATAATCTCTAACTCTACTCCAGTACTACGTACCCTTTAGCTCTTACTAATGTGCCTGTGTCACATAAGTGCATAAATCTAATACTCAGCTCACTCTTCAACGTAACTAAGACGGCATTCATTTCGCCAAGTACCAGATATCTAAGTGCAATGGTCAAAATGCATTTTGTATGTACTAACGCCAGTGGAATTTGTTTTACTTACCACAGTTCCTTAATGACAGAGTATTTTTAATAATATCAATCTTTTCATTAATATGAGAGCATAATTGGTCCAGCTCTGAGGAAGCCATCCTCTAAGACTCTAAAGAAGAAGAAGAAAAAAGTTTGTAAAAAGAAAAGCAAGGTAAGTTTTTTGTGCCTTTTCAAAGCCTCTATAAATATGGCAAGATTCCAGGAAAAAAAATTAAATAAAAAGGGCCTGCTCAAGCAAATCGATGAACAACCGGAGGGCAGTGACAGTGACAATAAAGGTAAAGGTAAAGGTAAAGGTAAAGACCCTCCTGTTGTTCATCGATTTGCTCGAGCGGGCCCAGTAACGTCTCCATTGGAGACAGTGACAATATTTAATATTATTTATTTAATATTTAAATTACAAATATTTAAGAGGTCAAGCATAATTCCTTTCAACTCTACAAAACTCCATTTGTAAAGGAAGTTCGGTACCAACTGGCTTCCAGCATTGGGGCATCAGGGCACCCCACCAGGATGCGGGAGATAAAGCCGGAACCTTTTCCTTGAGTTAGGGGAAGTGCAGACACCGGCGTGTAGTTTACAACTCCAAAGACACACTGAAAGCTTAGCAAGTTCAAAGAGACCGCCAGGTAAGCGTCCCCTACCTGGGGGGTGGGGGGGAGGGGTGAGAGATCGGAGATGGGGGCGCAGGGAGGAGAGAAGTAAGAGCATGCAGAGAGCACCCGCCAAGGGAGCCGAGGCCAAAAGCACCCAGCCAGGGTCAACCGCCGCGCAAAGTCCAGCCCTGCTCCTCCGCGCCCTTTCCTGCCCCCTTACCTGGCGCGGGCTGCACCCGCGGGCTGGACGCACGACAGCTGACCCTGCCCAGCACCACGCACAGAGCAGATGCTCCCCGCCGCGGGGTCTCGAGCTCCGGATACCCCCGAGTCTAAGCCGGAAGCCCGGGAACGCGAGACGCGCAGTCCGAGAAGGAAATTCAAACTGCCCGCGGAGAGGGGCGGGGAAGGGGAGGGAGGGAGGGAGGGGAAAAAACTCGGCGACGCGCAGGCGCACAACGGCGCTTCCCGGACGCCGGCTAGGTGCCCACACGCGGGTCCGCGTCTTCCGGGTTCCCCAGAGAGGCGGGACCCGCGGGCGGAGATGGGCGGGTGGGTCCGGGCGCGGACTGGCTCCCTGCACCATAGCCCCGCCTCCTTCTGACCGCTAGTGAACGCTATTGGTCGGTCCCTTACGCCGCTGCCCCGCCGAGGTCCAAAGCTTCCAGGATGCCCTGGTTGCAGAGCGCAAACGCTGCGTCTCCGAGTTGGCTACAGTTAGGATGGACTGTGGCAGCTTTTTTTACGGGCTTCAGTGCATAGTCTGGTCTCCAAATGCCCGAAATCGGGAGCGGAGAGAGTTTTTAGCTGGTTGACTGCCTGCTTGGCATGCTGGAGACACAGATTCGAGCCTGGCACCGCGTGCTCACCCCCAGCAGCCGCTGCTGGTGTGACCCAAAAACCAGATCAGTGAGGCTCTCTAGGAGTGGAGCCCAACCCTTAGCGTTAAAAAAAAAAAAAAAAGAAATAAAAAGGTAAGTAAAAAAAAGCAGTCGTGTGTGCGAACTAGAAGATAAGCACTTTGTCTTCGTGAAATTCACAGCTCTAGTAAGGTTGTGAATTAAAAATAAAAGCAAGTCAAATTCTCTCTTTTTAAAAAAGGAGCTGGGGAGCCGGCAGAGCATCCCAGTTCTGTGGCCCTCAAGGTTTTTGGTTCCTTCCGTCTGACTGCAACTCCAGAGCCTCGCATCTTCTGGCTTTTGGTGCGGGTGGTCACAGTCACTCCTGGGGGCTTTGAGAAGAGAGGAAGGGTCCAGAACCGGAATCACCTAGCAATTGAGACCACTTTTGCTTTTCACTGGTCACGTACATCTCCAAGGAAGACTGAAAAATAATTACAAAAAAAAAAAAGTTTAATACAGGGCCTGGGGAAATAGCCCAGGGGGCATCTGATATGTTTTGTCCACCTCCCCACACACACCCCTACCCCAGCAGTGCTGGGTGTCTCCCCCTACCCCCCCCCCCCCCAGCATTGGATCTTAAACACCCGGCTGGTAGAGCGCTGTTGGCTGGTCCTGGGGGTGGGTGGTCCCCTGGTCCCTTCAGCATTGCTTGGGAGGATCCCCACCACCACCACCAATGTACAGAGTTACGGAGGTACGTTATATCCTCAGTAGATTCTGTTACAGACTATTAAGTGGCCCCTAGCCAGAACTCGGCCACCGACTGTGACACAGAGACAGGAAAGAATTTTTTCAAGGCTTTATTCACTCATACAAAGGACTCAGTACTGAGGGTTGGAAAACCTAAAAGACTTGGAACCCCAATCACCCTGAGGAAGAGGTTTTGGTTTTGTTTTGTTTTTGCTTTTTGGGTCACACCCGGCGATGCACAGGGGTTCCTCCTGGTTCTGCACTCAGGAGTTACTCCTGGCGGTGCTCAGGGGACCATATGGGATGCTGAGAATCAAACCCGGGTTGGCCGTGTGCAAGGCAAACGCCCTACCCACTGTGCTATCTCTCCAGCCCCAGGGAGAGGTTTTCAAGACCTGTGCCCTCCTACCTCTGAGTGCATGCCTGCTTGTCTGGGTGCCCCCTGCCAGGTGCATTCTCCCCGTCTTGAGCTAGCGCAGAGGTACAGAAGCCATAGTGGTTAACACATCTTGTTACATTTATTTTAATCATGCTTGTTATCTGTGGTCAGATGTCTGGACATTTGTGTTCATACCCTTGAGATCTGGCATGTTTTTCTTACTAGGTGGTAAACTGATGACCCTAAGACACAAAATGGAATCTGGCTTTCCAAAATGGAGTCACCGTGGTTCTTTCACAGTCAAATAGCAGACTTCGCCTTGTCTACATGTCACTTTTAATCTTTTACTAACAGGAAATTTTAAAACATAGGAAAAAATATATCATGAACCCAGCATTGAGCTTTAACCATCATCAGTGTATCACAAAAATGTTCTTGTCTGTAGTCTCCTCTTGTTCTTTGCCCATGGGGGTATAGTAAAGCAAATCTCAAACATTGTATGTGTTCGTCCAAAAATATTTTCAGACTTACCTTCTAAAGGGGCTGGAGCGATAGCACAGTGGGCAGGGCGTTTGCCTTGCACGTGGCTGACCCTTGTTCGATTCCTCCATCCCTCTCAGAGAGCCTGGCAAGCTACCAATATCCCGCCAGCACAGCAGAGCCTGGCAAGCTCCCCATGGCATATTCGATATGCCAAAAACGGTAACAAGTCTCACAATGGAGACGTTACTGATGCCCGCTCCAGCCAATCGATGAACAACAGGAGGACAGTGCTACAGTGCTACCTTCTAAAGAAACAAAGTTCTTTGCTGTTTTGTCGGAGACATAACACCTGATGTTCTGGGCTATTCCTCTCCCTGCTGCCGTTGCTAAAGGACCTTGCATATATTGATCAAAGTGGGGTGTCTGCATGCAAAGCAAACAACCAAGCCCAGGGATCTATCTCCCCAGTCCTTTAAAATATATTAGGAACATCAAATGTAAACATTTTAACTGTATTTTATTTATCCTGAAAAACATCCAGTCCGTATTTGATTTTCCTGTGTGTCCTCCCGTTGTTCATCGATTTGCTCTAGCGGGCCCAGTAACATCGCCATTGGAGACTTTGTTGTTACTGTGTTTTGGCTTATCGAATACATCACGGGTACTCTTGGTAGCTTGCCGAGCTCTCCAAGAGGGGCGGAGGAATCGAACTCGGGTCGGCCATGTTGGCTGCGTGCAAGGCAAACGCCCTACCGCTTTTTTTTTTTTTTTGGCTTTTTGATTCACACCCGGTGATGCTCAGGGATTGCTCCTGGCCTTGTACTCAGGAATTACTCCTGACAGTGCTCAGGGGACCATATGGGACGCTGGGGGTCGAACCCCAGGTCGGCCATGTGCAAGGCAAATGCCCTACCTGCTTGCGGTCCAGCCCCTTTTTTTTTCTAATTGTATCACTAAAGTATTTAGATTTTTTTAATGTGCATTTCAGTTATAATTCCCAAGATTTCCACATTATTATTTGTTGATACATTTTTAAGAAATAACCATAAGGTATTAAATTTATTTTTTCTTTTTTTCTCTTTTCTTTATATTTCTTTTCTATTGGGGTGGGTTTTTTTTTTTGGATTATTTTCTGGGGTGGTTGTGGGGGGGGTAGACTTTTGGGATTTGAACCTGGCAGTTCTCAAGGGATCATATGTAGTGTCCTTAATCAACTAGGTTTGGCTGCATGCTAAGTACACACTTTAACCATTCTATTGTCCCTCCTGCCCCATGGTTTAGAATTCTAGGTAAATTACATGGTAACATACATTTTCTTGCAGTAGCACTGTAGCACTGTCCTCCCGTTCATAGATTTGCTCAAGCGGGCACCAATAACGTCTCCATTGTGAGACTTGTTGTTACTGTTTTTAGCATATCAAATATGCCACGGGGAGCTTGCCAGGCTTTGCTGTGCAGGCAAGATACTCTCGGTAGCTTGCCGGGCTCTCTGAGAGAAGCATTATCAAATTATTTCCCACAAGAAAATAAAGGAGAATACATCTTTATGTACAATATAAAATGGGGAGAGGGGCTGGAGCAATAGCACAGCGGGTAGGGCGTTTGCCTTGCATGCGGCCAACCCAGGTTCTATTCCCAGCATCCCATATGGTCCCCTGAGCACTGCCAGGGGTAATTCCTGAGTGCAGAGCCAGGAGTAACCCCAGTGCATTGCCGGGTGTGACCCAAAAGGCAAAAAAAAAAAAAAAAAAGACAAAAAAAAAACCAGGGAGAGAGTAGAGGAAATATAGAAATAAGTAATCGGATCATTTTGTTTACTTCAGTTTTCTCTCCAGTGTAACTGTCAAGTCTCCTTCAATTGCAGTGTCAGAAATATTGAGAAGAAAAGGAAAATGTTTTGTTTTGTTTTGTTTTGTGGAGTGATAACACAGCGGGTAGGGCATTTGCCTTGCATGCAGCCTCAGCGCAGCAAACTCAGTGGACCCGGGTTCAGTTCCTCCGCCCCTCTCGAAGAGCCCAGCAAGCTACCGAGAGTATTCTGCCCGCTACTCCAGCCGCAGGGCAAAGCCTGGCAAGCTACTTATGAGGTATTAGATATGACAAACACAGTAACAACAAGTCTCACAATGGAGATGTTACTGGGCCCACTCAAGCAAGTCGATGAACAACAGGAGGACAGTGCCACAGTGTTTTGTATTTTGAGATCACAGGGCCAGATGTACTTTAACCCCTGAATGAGGTCAAAGGGCTCCCCTTCCCGGCAGAAACCAGCTATTTTAGGGAGTCAAGTAAAAGATTAAGACTGGGACACCAGTCTGGGGCAATTTGTTGCAATTTTTTGTTGGGCCTAATCAATCTTTAATAGGCAGCTTTATGACAACATCTCTTACCTCCCTTGCTTGCTCAAGGCCATCAGACAGACGCACCTGGCAGGATGAGCCCAGGACATAGGCGCAGGTAAGCAGGCAGGAGGGCACATGGCTTAAGAACCTCTCCCTGAAGTCCTCCAGGATTCCTAACCCAGGGAGCAGTCCCAGCTAGTGAACTCTCAGGGCTGAGTTTCCCCCCAACCCCTTTTTCCGTTTCTTTTTTTTTACACCTTAGTAAACTCTGGGGGCCAGAGTAGGGCATTTGCCTTGCATGCGGCCAACCCAGGTTTAATTCCTCCATCCCTCTCGGAGAGCCCGGCAAGCTACCGAGAGTATTTCGCCCACATGGTAAAGCATGGCAAGCTACCCATGATGTATTCGATATGCCAAAAACTGGAACAAGAAGTCTCACGATGGAGATGTTACTGGTGCCCGCTCGAGCAAATCAATGAACAACGGGAGGACAGTGACAGTAAACTCTGGAGAGCAAAATGCTATGCCTAGTTTTGGCTAATACTGTGGCAGG